CAGGGCAGACCAGCTGGGGTGCTGTCGAGTTGCTCCTGTAGCGCCGCCCCTCGGGAGCAACCCGGCAGCATCGCAGCTGCTTTGCATCGGGCGTCCCCAAGTCAGCTGCTGCTGAAACTGACCAGCGGCTGACTCGGGGAAGTCCGGGGCAGAGCAGCTCCAATTGTCCGGCTGCCTGGAGCACTTCCGGGTTCTAGGTGGTGCCGGACTAGCAGGAATACCGGACCACTGGATGCCGGACAACTGGAGTTTTACTGTAACTAACTTTCGGAAATATATATAAGATATAACCATTTACTTCCAGTATTTTGGCCTGCTATTGTTTGAATCACTCTGCTTTGTTCTCAGTATAAACATATTTGAGTGCTCTGAGTTAAATGGAGCAATGCTCTGACGTGGAATTGGTAAGCTGGATGCATTGTTTCTTTGGAAGCAATGAATTTGTTCTGTGGAACATAGGCTGGACATTCCAGGGAAGTTATTGATGGGATCAAGGGTTGGGGAATCCTGATCAGTAACATGTACAGAGACTGCAGGGCCTATCACGCCTGAGGGGTGGGTGGTTTGTTTCTGGTGCAGTCAGGGAGCTGACCCATGATAGGCACAAACACAGCTTCCTCACATTATTGGCAGATAGTAGCGAGGGTCCTCACAGCCTTAGGTATTCCTAAGAAGCATCAAAGTAACCACAGCCTAGATTTTCAAAAGGGCTTAGGTGCCTAAAGATGCAGATAGATGCCCAGTGAGATTTTTCAAATGTGCTTAAGCAAGTTAGATACCCAACTCTTATTGATATTAATAAGAGTTGGTCATCTATCTGAGTATGAAAGAGCCTCCATGCCTTTGAAAATCTGTCCCCAGGAGTTTGGATGCTTATCCAAAATTCTTTGCTCAACAATCTGGTCTGGAATTTCCTGAGAGCAGATTTTTTTTCTGAACTTGATTCCTATTGAACATACCATTTTTGACAATGCTTCCAGGCCTGGAAAAAATAAAAATAATAGGACACGGAGTTTGAAGCTCAGGAAAAGTTTGGTTATGGTTCAGGTTGAGTTTTTAATTTATTTGAACTGCTTTATTCATTATTATTCTAAGGTTAGTTTCCTGGCTTATTTGTACATTTGGTATATCCTCTAGTTGCCTGAATGACATTATTTATCTAGCCAAGTATGTATCTTGTGGGGCTATCCCTCAGCTCAGTCCTAAACGGCTAATTTCAGGGATCAGCCGTTCAGATGCTCTCTTTGAAAACTTGTTGCCCAGCTAGAGATTTGAGTTCTTGATCAGATGTGATGTTCTCCAGATAATGTAATATCTCAGTTCTGGACATAGTCATAAGATAAAAATGTGTTGTGTTTTGAAAGAAATGAAACCAAATTTGAAGTGTGTTTCTTACATATATTATAGTTGTATTGATCTTGAGGAAAAGGTAAATAATGTGATGCTTACCTCTTAAAACGATCCACACCTAGTCACCAAAATTAATTATCCTGAAAATCTAAACTGAATTGTTTTTTAGAAAATGAAAAGTTAGATTGGCTTAAAAATAATCAGTGTTATTACAAGGAAATGCATCTGAGTACCTGCGATGAATAATGTAATAACTTTAGGTTGTGTCAGATTTATGATGTTACTTATGGTCAGACTGCATTTACTAATTCAGAATAATCTGAGGTGAATAAAGTGACAAGGCCTTAGACTTTGCAACTGTACATCTGTTTCTTTGATTTTTGCATCAAAAGTCTTCAGTGAAAAATGTGTACATGTGGTTGAAGTGGTGGTGTTCAGATCTGGCCACATCTTAAGAAATTGCTTTCTTGTCTAACTATGGAAGAAATGGATTGACCCCATCCATTAGCCCATACAAAATTCTTTCTTTCAAGTTCCAGCTGATTAATGGGGCTACATATAACGAAGAACCTTTTTCTTAGACGTGATAAATCGACCTCTGAGCGCACTCCTGTCAACTCTGGTACTCCACCACGACAAGACGAGTAGTTGGAGTTGATGAGGGAGCAACCCCCGCCAACCTGACTGCATGAAAGACACCGTGCTAAGCACATTGACTTCAGCTATGTTATTTACATAGCTAAAGTTGTGTTGGTTAGATTAACGGGGTGGGGGCAGTGTAGACTAGGCCTAAGATTAATAAGGGGCCCCATTTTAAAGATGATTATTAGTATGCATATTGTCATGCATCAACTTCTAAAATTCTATTTGTTTATCACTGACCAATGTGATTTTGATAACTAAGGCCCTGTTTCAGCAAAACATTTAAGCACATGCTTACCATTAAGTTCTGTTGCCATCACTTTAATTACCATTTAAATACCATTTATTTACTTTGCTGATTTGTGGCTTAAGTCTTATATCAGCATTTTTTGCATATTGGATTCCCAACAGGAAACTCTTTAAATATACAGAACACTTTGTCAATCTCTGTATTGTCATTTCCCTTTTAATCAAAATGTGAAGCCCACAGCAATCTGCTTTCCTATTACATCGAGTAAACCCCACATCAAGCCCAGCAAAACTGCCCAAAATACACTTTAATGCAATGTTCAACATGGATACAGTATTCTATCAAGAAAGCTTCCAGAAAATTATTTGATTTCTGGTCTCACAAATATTTTTAAATGAAATTATACATGACTGTAAAGCCACAGACATAAGTGTAATAACCGCTTCAAGAAATGGTTTCCTAATGTAAAATATACATGTGCGCGCACACAAACACACCCTCTTAGAGTTCTCTCTTGGTTTTGAAATAAGAAATGTAAGAAATTTTGAAGATGGATTTTTCCTTTTGTTGAGACTTGATTCATACAATTTTTTTAGGAGGAAACCTCCTGGCACGAACATCTCTTTTAAACCATGACATCCATTGTCCCGTTGTATAAGTCATTGTTTTTACCCACACATATTTTAATTAATGTTGCTTTTAATTCTAACTATTTAGAGTAGACAGAAATTGTGCATTTGTGCGTGTTGTGGAATATGAATATAAGCTAATGGTTATTAGTAAAATAATTCCAAGTGTGTTTTAGAATTTTGGGGCTGGGGACAAAAATCACCCAAGGAAAAATTGAAGTAGTTTTACACCTATTGAAGAGTCTACTTACACAGTTTTTGTATTTTTGTTTTTTTTTTCAGATGCTCATTTGCTTACAGAACATACATGACTAAAGTGACACCCCAGACTCTTTTGAGCAATTGTTAAGGGATACTTTAACCTGAGAATGAAGAGATAAACACTTACTCGGCAGAGCCGTATGATTGAAACCACAACCCAGCCCTCTGTTATTGGACAAGGCTGTGTCCTTCTGCCCCAAAAAACCGATGTTGCAGTAGTTCAGATGGATCACAACAAAGAGGCAGAAATGGAATTACGAAGATCCTCTAGTCCTAGCAAGTTAAACAAGAATGATGTTGATGGCGACAAGTCCATGTGCCACAGCTGCTGCATCTGTGGTAAAAGTTTTCCTTTTCAGAGCTCCCTGTCTCAGCATATGAGGAAGCACACAGGAGAGAAGCCCTATAAATGTCCTTATTGCGACCATAGAGCTTCCCAAAAGGGCAACTTGAAGATACACATTCGGAGTCATAGAACAGGCACTTTAAGTCATGGGCATGAGGTGGAGTTGGGAGAAGCACAGCTTGGAGAGATGGGAGTCTCAGAAGGCCTTGATGGATGCACTAGCCCCACTAAAAGTACATCTGCCTGCAACAAGATTCTGAATGGGGCAACCCAGACAGACAACAGCAAGATTTTGTTGAGAAGCAGCAAGAAAGAGCTTGTCACAGAGACACTGCCTGCAGAAGATGGTAAGCAACCCACTTATCAGTGCACCTTCTGCAAAAACAAATTTGAGAGAAAAAAAGACCTGGAACAGCACCTACACCAAGTCCATAAGCCATACAAATGCAGGCTTTGTAATTACATGACACTGAGAGAAGAGACGCTGTTAAACCACATAGAGAAAGACCATATTACAGCTCAAATTCCAAATGGGGAAGCTTATTCTGAGAATTGCAAGAGTGAGCTGAATACAGGGGAATTTCCTTGTGAAGTCTGTGGTCAGGCCTTCAGTCAAACCTGGTTTCTCAAAGCTCATATGAAAAAGCATAGGGGATCCTTTGATCATGGATGCCACATTTGTGGCAGAAGATTTAAAGAACCCTGGTTTCTCAAAAACCACATGAAATCACATGGCCCAAAGACTGGGAGCAAAAACAAACCAAAAAATGATTTAGAGCCCATAGCCACTATTAATAATGTGATTCAGGAGGAAACAATTGTGACCGGCTTATCTCTGTATGAAGTTTGCACCAAGTGTGGAAATCTGTTTACAAATATGGAAAGCCTGAAAGCGCATAATGCTGTACACTTCAGAGCTCAAAGAAGCAGTACTGAGTACAAAGCTGAGGGGTTAATTGATGGAAGCCTAGATCCATCTGTAACAAAGCAGTTTTTCTTACAGTGCCTGAATCTGAGGCCATCTGTAGGGATAGATAGAGTTACAAGAGGACAGCCTGGAAAAAGGGTAGCTGAGCTGGATCCAGTCAATAGCTACCAGGCCTGGCAGCTGGCCACCAAAGGAAAAGTAGCAGAGCCCTCTGAGTATGTAAAATATGTGGGATGGGATGAAGCCCTTGCTGATGCAGATGTGACTTATGACAAGGATAAGAGAGAATATATTCTTGTCAGCCAGGAGAAGCGGAAGCGAGATCAGGATTCACCCAGTTCTTCCAGCAATCCCAAGAAGAAAAGCTGTGTCAGTGGGCGCTTGGAGAAGAACAGCAATGTGCAACAAGGAGAAAATGGTATTCTTGCCCAGAACGACCTGGACTATAGACCCTCGTCAAGGCAGAGCAGAAGGGCATCCCAGAACAAATCCACCGAGTGTTTTGAGTGTGGCAAGATTTTCCGTACCTACCACCAAATGGTGCTTCATTCTCGGGTACACAGAAAAGAACGCAGGAGCTGCAGTGAGAGTGGGGCCATTGTTCAGCCAGATCGGTATGGATCCAGCAGCGAGGAAGGGGATTCTGGTTCTGTTAGTGGGCCGAGCACACCAGGCTCAGCTTCTGCCCCAGAAGATTCTGTGACCTCTGGAATGGGTGAGGAGGGTGCTGAGGACAGCTCTGAGGAAGGAGTTCCTGAACCATCACTAGGTAAACCATCATACACAACGGTTCTCCCCCCTTTCTCCTAAGCTACCATTTCTTTGTCTCTAGCTCTTTTAGATCCCATGCCTCTTAGCCTCCTGGGGTCTGAATGTGGGACACAGCAAGGAGCAAAGGAGCAAAATGAGAGAGGAGCAAAATACCATAAGAAGCTTAAAATTAATGTGGATCAATTCTGTAGCCTAATTAACATTGTTTATAGTCTCAGTTCCATGATTCAACATTTCTGTTGTAAATAATAAAAGTGAGATCACAGGAGGTCTTTGCAAGATGCAGGTAAATTTGGATTTCAAATGAAGGACAACTGAGAGGTAGCTTAGTTACCCTTAGCAACGCAGTTACCTCTGCTGTTTGCTTCAGTATTTCTGCTGTTAGCTTCAATATATCAGTATGTTTCCTGGAGATCTAGTTTTGCCCTGATTTACACCTTTTCTGCTGTCAGTATACAGGTGTAATTAGAGTTTAGTTTGCCTGCTGTAACCTTGAAACACATAAACTTGTTAATTACTAATGAGAAAGGCATTCCTTCCTCTTTTCTTTTTCTGTGCTCTGCTTCCCCAAACTTGTGTTATAACTGTAAGGCTATAATTAATCTCTCTGGATTAAAGCAGTCCTTTGAGTTCAGTACTAGCTAAATGAAACAAATTATTCCCTAAATAGCAGCAAAGTAAATATTTAAAGAAATACTGAGTACTTCTATATCATTTTTAATTTTTGTTGTTTACTTTCCTTTGTTTATAATACCCTGTTAGAAATGAGAGAAATAACATTTCTTTCATTACTAGCCCTATGGTATTTTTCCTTTTTGACAAAGTGTTTTCCCCATTGTTTTCTTTCATGAAGAACTAACTTGTTTTCAGGAGCTTCAGTTAGGAAATCACTGGCACAGTTCTGGGAAATTTTTTTAAAGATATCCTTTAACAACTGGTTCCTGAATCTGGTTAATGAATGTCATAGAAGAATGAACACAATGTATTCCAGGATTGTGTGTTAAGTTATACATATTATTATTGATGGCAATAATAATGTGGTGCTGGATATTTTTTGTCACTGGACTTTCCCCTGTGATCATTTTAAGAGAGGTCAAAATTTGAACTGAAACTATTAAGTATACCTCTTTATAAAATGCTGACAGAATCTGCTAGATTAGGGATTTTCAAACTCTGGCTTGTGACTTCTAAGGGCAAGCCACTAGCTGGCCACAAAACACTTTGTTTACCTGCACCTCTACAGGTACAGGCAATCATGCCTCCTGTTGGCCACGTTTCACCGTTCCCAGTCAGTGGGAGCCGCGGGAAGTGGTGTGGACTGGCACACTGCTTCCCGCAGCTCCCATTGGCTAGGAACAGCGATCCGCAGCCAATGGGAATTGTGATCGCTCCTACCTGTGACGGCACAGGTAAACAAAGCATCTCGCCACCTGCTAGCAGCTTGCCCTTAGAAGCCGTGACCCAGAGTTTGAAAACACCTGTGCTAGATCATCTTCTGTCACAGAGCTGAAGTAAGATTTAACAGATAATCACTAGCACTCCCTCTAGGGAGAACTATTAATCCCCTGCCTCACACTCTAAAGGATTTAAGTAATTATAAAACACTTTCTTTTATAAAGAAAATGCCCTTTTTGGAAACAAAATTTGTCTAGCATTGACTTCACTGTGAGTTGTCAACTTTATTAGCTTCACTGGGACTTAAATCATGTCCCGGGTGAGCAGATCAGGAGCACATTAGATTAGAGGGTTAAATAAATGAAATACCAAAATCAAATTCTTATGTGTATCCCCACCCTTCTTAAAAACCACAGCTCTGAAAAGTACTAGTGACAGATAAGTATTTATGTAATGCTCACATGCACAAATAGTAGGCTCAAAATTGGGTCTGCCCATTTATTGTTGTATTTATACAATTTAAAAAATAAAGGGTGCTTGTTGCATTCATGTCAAAGTCCATAGTGCACTGTCTGAACCATGCCTGTCCAATTCATTCAATATATAATTATTGAAATGCAGCTTTATTCGGAGTGAAATGAGGCTGTGAAATTCTACCCATATAATGCACAATACTTTCGTGGAAACAGTTGTGATGGAAAATAGTCTCTCCAGAGACAGGCTCAAATCAGAAAAATTCCTTTCATATAATGCTCAAAGTAAATTATTCTGTTCTCTTCTTAATCATTTGATTTTAACTTTATCGTTTACGAACTCAATTAATCTTCTCAGTGCTGCTCTCATAAGTGAAAGCATTTTAAAGTTATGCAGCAATTACTCTTGTTAATAACCTGGTGCTAATAGTCATTAGGATATTTATTTTCTTGAGTTAGTAAATTGGGTCTCACTTTCCAAATTGAACAGTGAGAGAGTAACAAACTAATCAAGCTAAATAAAGATGAATCTTGGAAAATAGATGCATTTGCATTGTTTGGCCATATGTTTCCTTTTATATTCCACAACTTCATATTTTAACACCTAACTATTCAGAGGGATTTTTTGTAGTTTAGAAAATTTCTTGTTGCTACTTCACATTAATGCAGTTTGTTTAATATTTACTAGTGAGATCAATGAAGTGAACATTTTTCATAGCTGACAGAGCTTTCCAGTTGAAAAAAAATTAAGTGGAACACATAATTTTTAGGCCAAGATCAGTATCTTAATTTTCCCCATTTATATTTCTTTGATATGACAGTGTTATAGACATGCTATTTATACTGTTTTATACTATCACCAGTTCAGAGATAGAGGATTGGGTCATTATGTCCATCAGGTTTTATGAATACTTTGTTCAGATAAAGGAATTTGAGTGGTCTCAAGGTTGCTTTTTCAGTTAGGAGGCTCCTCCCCCACCTCTCTTTCTGAACTAAAACTTGAAGTCTATAGAGCATAGTCCAAATTCTGCCTTCATTTACAACCAGACAGCCCCATTAAAATCAAATGCTTTGTTACATTCTTTAAACTGTCTTTTGTCCTACTAGTGTTATGGTTTGCTACTCTCTACTGAGGCTCTTCTAGTTAATCTAACAGGGTCATGTGACCTTTTTTAGTCAATAGCAAAGCTCTAGCAGCAAGAGCAGTAGCCATTTAAAGTAGCTGTAAGTGAATGATATTCTCAATTTTTAGAGGTTCCTCTCTCCCACATTCATTTTACAGTGTTGTTTTTACTCAAAATGTGGCTGGGCAAACCTCGTGGTGCTCATGAGACTATTTAAAATTACATTACTTCTATTTTCGCATCCTCACTTCCTTTTCCCATAACTTTTATATATTACTGTGGGACTGCAAGCCTGAAAGACAATAGGGCCTTGATTCTGGCCGTAGTTCAACGTAGCACTGAAGCAAATGATTAACTTTATACTGCGTGAACAGTACAATGTAGCTGAGCCTGTGCTTTACTGGATTAGGACCAGAGTGCATGACACCTCTCAGACCTGAGTTATATTTGAGGACCAAAAAGTATGCACCAAATGCAAAATAACTCGTGAGTGTTTCAAAAACAGCATTTTCATACTCTTCACTTATCTTCTGCTCTGTCGGAGAAGTCGCATCATCCTTTCTCAGCCATGTGGGTTGTGTTGCAAACCCAGATTGCCATCCACCAGAGGATCCCAGACTGGTGTTTGGAGTACTTACAGACATGGAGTTGAAGAGATATGAAGGGACCATTATCTAGACCAGGGGTGGGCAATAAGGATGTTAAATATTGAGTAATTTACTAGTCTAGTAATTTCAATTGACTACTCGACTAGTTGATAGGCACTTTGGCATTTCGAAGTCCCACTGACTCTGGGCTGCACACGGGTGCCATCTTTGAAATGACACACAGAGCCCGGGGTCAGTTGGGAACTTCCCAGCTGACCCCGGAAGTCCACATGACATTTCCGCCGAACCCAGGCTCTGTGTGCTGCGCTGGAACCAAGGATCAGATAACTCTGGGTTCCATGCAAACGCTGCCTCGGTATTTCCAAGCAGCACTGCATGGAGCTGACCCCTTGCCTCCTCTATCTTACAGAGGCAGCAGCGAGGGAGGTGGAGGGAGGAGGATCAACTAGTCCCATAACATCCCTGGTGGGCAGTTATTTTTAATGGGGGGGGCCACTCCAAGATTTTGGCAAGTGGTCAAGGGCTGCATTTCTACTGCATAAGTTTGGGATTTGGGCAGAGGGGTGCAGAAGAGAGCTTGGGGTAGTAGACTGGGGTGCAGGAGTGGGTGTGGAGTTTCAGAGGGAGTTTGGGTGAAGGAGGGGGCTGTGATCTGGTCAGAGGTTTGGGCTGCAGAGTCCAGGAGGGGGTATGGGTGCAGGAGAGGATTCTAGCCTGAGGGAGGAGCTCTAAGAAAGGTGTGGGGTCTGGGAGGGAGTTGTGACCTGGGGGAAAAGGGTACAGAGAGTTTAGGTGGTGGCTTGGTGCAGGAAGTTTGGGGGGGTGGGAGAGGTAAGGTCGGGGTGTCAGAAGCAGGCTCTGGCTGGGAGGTGCTTACCTAGGCAGCTCTCTATAAGCAACTTTGCAGGAATCTGAAGACTGTAGTCAGAAGCTGCTCCACGTGGCTCTGCTTCAGGTAGGATGAAGGAATGGAGGGGGAGGAGGAGGCTTCATTGGCTGTCTCTGCTGCCAGCAAAATATCTCAGTTGCTATTGGTTGGAAACTGGCCAATGGGAGCTGAGAGATTTTGCTGAGGGGCGGGACAGAGTACAAAGCCTCCCTCCTCGCTCCCAGAATAGAACAGCCACATTTAAAGCAGCTGCCACTGTGGCTGCTCTCTGCTGTGCTTAAGGGTACCGGCAAGGTAGCTGTGGGCCGGATCCGTGGCTTGGTGGGCCGGATGCAGCCCGCTGGCAGCCTTTTGCCCACCCCTGATCTTGATTGACCTGTTGCAGCATTGCAGGCCACAGTACTCCTGCAGTAAGCCCATACCTCTGGCTGAGTTACTCAGATCCTCAAATCTTGGTTTTAAGATTTTAAGTTACAGAGAATCCACCATTTATTCTAATTTAAACTATCAAACTGCTGATGGTCTTTGACTGGCTGGCAGGTCACATGATGTTGGCTCTCCTTAATCATTTTAAAAATGACCAAGAAGTGCATTCCTGGTATAATTTTTCCATGTAAATAGTCACAGGATTGCCATAGAAATGTTATGCAAATGAGAGTGTGTGGTCTGTCGGGCCAAAAGGAGAAGAGGTGGTCAATGAGCTATATTTATTGTCTGTTAAGAAGGAACTGCACTATGAAAAGGTTTGATGATTCTGACCCTAGATATAATCTCTGTACTGTTTGTCAGTGGCCCGAAGGGCACCAACAAATATGGTTGTCAGCATTTCTATTATGTTGCATTTGAAGCTGCCTAAGCCAGGTGCAAGCAGCTGTCACTGATCACTTGCACTGACTTGAGCTTTTTTAAAAAATTACTTTCAGTTCTTAACTAAAAATGGTAGGTTAGGGGTCATGCATCACTTCCATAAAAGTACAAGGAGTATCTGCCTCTGTTTTTATCCCAACTGTTTCCCTCACAAAGTATATAATTTTGACGAGTCTCCAAAAACAAAATAAAAAACAAACCCCAAAACCAAACCCCCGCAAAAAAAAAAAAAAATAGCAACAACTGGAGGATATGCAAGATAGTATCTCTATTTTTGAATGGAATGTGAGCACCCTAATTTGACCTCCTCACCATTGGCATCATTAAGGCACAGAACAATATTGCACTCCATATCAAAATGATTTTTAAAATAAAACAGTTTGTGAAGATACCTGCCACAACATTCTTGTCCCATTAGCTTGTGATCTTGGTGTGTGTGTGTGTGTGTGTGTGTGTGTGTGTGTGTGTGTGTGTGTGTGTGTGTGTGTGTGTGTGTGTGTGTGTGTGTGTGTGTGTGTCCTTTTAACTGGATCTCTGCAAAGACCTTGTCCCCTCTCTTCCCCCCCACCAAAAAAAATGTTGGTGTCTTAGTATGTTTGAACCTTAAGCGCTATGGCCCCAATTTGTTCATTAAAGCATTATGGGCTATATCAATTTTGAAATCAAGAAAGAAGCATCAACAAGTGATGCCATGACTGCCGGCTGGGAAAATGAGGAAGCGAGTTCAAGTAGTTTTAATTTAATATTTTCAGAGCAATAAACAAGCAGCTTAAAAACAATACTTTGTATCCTCCACTGTAGGGCTCATAGGGTTTTGTGAGGGAAGTGCATGCTTTCCCCTATATACATATTTTCTCTCTG